AAAAAAAAAAAAAAAAAATCCAAAAACCTGTTCCCATGATCACATGCTTCAAAACTGGAGTGACACAGAAGGATATGAGGCCCCAGCCTCCCTGTCGCCCTGTGCGCCTGCCCACTCCCCTGCAGGTCCACGCGAGCTTCCTCTTCTAAACTCAGGCCAAGGCAGCTGTCCTTGCAGTCCTGGGAAGACCTGCTCGCTCTGTGTCTCTCCTGGACACCAGATGCCTTCGCCCGGAGCTGCCTGCTGTGAGCCTGGCTGTTCTCCCCACTCAGAATCCCATGGAGGAGGCTCCCCGGGCCCAGGCCGTGGCCGGGACTCAGGCTCCTCTCCCAGGGCCTTTGTCCTTCACCTGATGCTGTTGCTGCACTTTTGTTTGCTTTAGTTCTTTCTTGCTTTGAGGCCGTTTCAGCCAGGAGAGAAGGCTGCCCTTCCCGATTCACTTCACTGTGGAACATTTTCTACGTCGTTTGTCTTCAAGGGCGCCATCCCTCACCTTCCCGTCTGCCCACCGGCTGTCTGGCCCGGCTGTCTCCTGCCTGCCGCAGGCTTGGCGCCTCTCGGCTCCACATTCCGTTCTGGGGGAATCCAGCGTGGGTGTGGAAATTCCAGCATCCGTGTTCTCAGGAGGTGGCCTTGTGGGTTCTGGTGGAAATTCCTGGCCTTGTGATGAAGGCTCTGGACCCTCCAGCCGGTATGTGGCTGGGACATTGGGTCCTCCCTGCAGAAGGTCATTCTGGCCCCGGGCTCACAGCTCCCGTAGCAGAGTGAGGAGGTGGGGGTAAGAGGAATGGTGTTTAGGGGTCCAGGGGGCCTAAAAAATAACAGCACCTACACGGTCTGCATGTGGACCCTGGCCTCCACTTCCTCCTGGTCCCCTTCACGTTGCCACAGAGAGTCCTGCGTTCGTTTCTGCCCTCAGAACCGGAGAGATCCTTTCCTTCTCTGCCCTTCCTGATGAAAATGGCGCAAGCAGCATCTTTTCTTGTCGTCATTTGAGGAAGTGAAGTTCAGCGTTCAGTTTGATCCGCAGTGAGATGGCCCAATTCAGCTTGGGATGAAACATGCCTACCGAAGCCAGGAGGCCAAGTGCCTGGGGCCCTTCCTGGGTCTGAGCCGTGGCCTGCAGGGCACCCTTTTCTCCTCAGTGAGGTCTCTACCGGGCTTCTGTAGCAGAGACCCCAACTCCAGCACTTGGCTATGTCCTGAAGAAGATGGGTGACCCACGGCTGCGGAGGCCCCCATTTCTGATAGCCAGCTGTCTGATCATTCATCGAAAGTCCCTGAAGAGTCAAACCAGTTTGGCTGCATGTGAAAGATTGGAAGGAAATTGCTGGATAGATGCTCTTCTGTGCTCCCTGGCGCTCCTACCTGAGCTTCCCGGCTTGAACTGCATGGGGTGACCGCAGTCCACTTCCGCCTGCCAGAAACAAAAGAGTCTAGAACACCACCCGGGTCTCAGGTTATGCCTTCGACACCAAACGCAATGGTCCACCTTGTGAGCTCCGGACCGACGCCCCTAGGCCCAGCTGCTCTGTCAGCCGTCATCTGCCCTGGCTCATCTGGGAAGTGGGGAGACCTGTGCTGGGAGAGGCGTCCCTGGGGAGGGAAAGAAGAGACTCCCGGAGCTGAGGCCAGCCCAGTCTTGAGGAGCTGTGGGTTTGTGGTGTGATGGTTCCTTGGGTGGTTCGCCTGGGGAGGTGGCCGCCGATCACCTACCCCTCCCCGCTCTCCTCCGGTGCCATGGAGGATGGACTTGGCCAGCCTGGAGAGGTGTCGCTTTTTGTTGTTCCTGGTATATTTCTTTGTTGTTTTCAGCAGTCTCTCACTGCGGCTTCCCTGCCCTGTGTGTCTTCCTTGGACGGGGACTTTCCTAAATTCCCTCTTCAGAAGATACACGGACATATCAGTCATTCAGCCCCCTTCAGCTGTCGTAGCCCCTGGTGAAGCTGTTCTGAGCCCCAGACCCTACCCTGTGAGAGCTGTGACCTGGACCCCGGCATGCGTGGTCTGGCCTAGAAGCTGCCTCCCCCAGCAGCAGCGACCGTGTGGCCCCTACGTGGCCTCTGAGTGCTGCAAATGTCCCATCGTCAAGTGGTTCAGGCTTCTGTGGCTCCTGCGCTGGCTCTGGGGGGGATCTGGTGGGGCCTGGCCAGGGTGCCACCTGCATGGAGGCCGTGCCCTCAGCTCGCTGCTCACAGACGCCTCCACCCTAGCAGGGGCTGGCCGGCATGGTGAGTCCACACTCGGGGGAGGACCGGGTCCCCGGGGCCTTGCTGGGCGCTTCAGCTTCTTCCTCCCTTTCGTTGTGCCAGGCAAGGCAGGATGCGAAGGAGTGGGGTCGGACTGACTGGGCCTGGTGTTTGAAGCTGGGGAGGAGAAGTTGCTGAGGGATTGACACTGGGAATGGTGGGTGTGAGTTTGGCCCAGGTGGGGAAAAGAAGGCGCATGGGGCCCTGTCTCAGCATGGCAGTCTCTCAGAACATTGTCCTGGGAACCAGAAGGGAGTGTAGCCCTGACTTCCTAGACGGCCTTCCATTTTCCCTGCCAGCGGCAGGCACATTCTGGAACCTTCTTGGGCAATATGCTGTAGAGACTCAGCTTCCTTTTGGAGAATAAAAAGGCACGTGATGGCCAGGAGCACCTCTACGTTTGGAGGGCGGGGTCGCCGAGGGTGTGGAGGGCATTCTCTGGTGACAGCAGCGCCTGGGCTGTGGGCTACGGAGGGGACTTCTGGAGTTTTTAGTGTTTGAAGTTCTCCGAAGCCTGAGGTCTGCTTCTGGGGCCCTGCTTGGGTGTCCATGTTGTGGGATGAACTCAAGGGGTGCCAGGCTCCTTCGGCAAGCCGCAGGTCCAGGAAGGGCCAAGGTGGGCTCTGGGGGTGGGGGTCTCTGCTGCTCCCGGGCTCTGGTGTTTGGCCACGCTGAGCTTATTCCTAAGTAATTTAAAGTAACAAGGAGTGTTTTTTGGACTCATTCATACTAATTGGCCTGTGTGTTTCCTGCTTTCCAAAGCTAGTCAGAGGCCCCGCAGCCCGTGTGAGGGAGGAAAGCCGGGGCAGGAAGCTGGGGCTGCCGACGGGGTGGGACTGTCCTGCCACATGCACCCGTCTCTGGGTGTGCATTAGAGCCGGACTTCCCTTTGCCCTCATCCAGCTGGGCTGTGGGGGAAGCACGGGGGTCACCAGATCACTGCTCAGGGCCTGAGGGGGACCCTGCTGAGTCAGCGCTGTTTCTCATCTGCTGCAGAGAATCCCGTTGTCAGGGAGGCTCTTTTTGTGGTCGGATGCCCGTCAGGGATGTGTACTCCTCATCAGCAAGGCTCCTGGCTGTCCACGTGGACCCCATAAGCCCAGGGCTCTCGTCCTCTCCCTTCCCGAGGCACACACTTGAAAGGGTGCTGTGTTTTTTCCGTAAATCACAACGAAAGGGTGAAAATGAAAGCCCTCCCTCATAGTCTCTCTGGTACAGGCTGTGGTGCTTGGGCACCTGGGGCTGGCACCGAACCCTCTGGGCACCTGCAAGCTCTGGCAACACCATGGGGTTCAGCCATGCTGGGCTGTAGGGTGCTCTTTCCAGTGGGCCCCCAGTGGTCACTGGTGGGGAGGACGGTGCATTGCAGGGACTTGTCCCTCTGTCTTTTAAAAAATCGGATTGAGTGAAGAAGAACCTCCCTCGTGTCCTTCTCTCACTCTGTCTTTGTTTCTTGTAATTTCATTTGCAGACAGTAGATCCAAAAATAGCCTGGGGGCCAGGGTTTGAAGTACCCCCCATGCCCGGAGGATCTGCACCCGTGGGTTTCTGTGAAATTGCCCTTGACAGCTTTGCCCAGTACCTTTTCTTCTGGACGTGCTTCTCACGCTGTTGGATTGAGTGTTCCTTCTCTTTTCTTTTGCACTAGCATTCCACGCCTATGGAAAAGTGGGGAAGATGCTGGTGGAGACCAGGTAAACCCAGCCCTGCTGTGCTCCTCCCTCCCCCTTGCCCAGACACTGGGGACCCTCCCAGCGGGAGCGAGACTTTCACCCCCGGATTCACCTATAACTTAGTTTCTCAAGAGTCACTAAATACACAAAATTCCAATTTATTGTACCTTTCAGTGTTGCAAGAAAAATTTAAATATGGAAAACTCCAAGAACACGGAAAATAGACCTCCCTCATTGTAGTTATTCTCTCAACAGAGTTCCGTACGCCGCCCCTGCCCCCAACACTGCTGCATAAAGGTGGCGTTCCATCGCAAGTGTCATACTTTTCTTCCTTTGGAGTAAAATTTCATGAGATGAAAAAATTTATGAGATCAAAAAATTGCTGGGAGATTGCACTTCTAGGCTTCTAAGTTAGGAAGTTGTAAACTCAAAAGCAGTTTTTTATTTTTCGAAAGCAGTTGATTATTCTTTTCCCTTGACTAATATCTTAGGGCTTTTTTTTTTTTTTTTTTTTGAGATGGCATTTTGCTCTTATTGCCCAGGCTGGAGTGCAGTGGCATGATCTTGGTTCACTGCAACCTCCTAGGTTCAAGTGATTCTCATGCCTCAGCCTCCCAAGTAGCTGGGATTGCAGGTGCCTGACACCACGCCTGGCTAATTTTTGTATTTTTAGTAGAGATGGGGCTTTGCCATGTTGGCCAGTATGGTTTTGAACTCCTGACCTGCCTGCCTTGGCCTCCCAAAGTGCTGAGATTACAGGCATGAGGCCACCGCGACCAGCCCATCATGGGACATTTTTGTAACACCTTCAGGAACGTTTAGAGCCTCTATGGAGGGATGAGTATAATACCACATCGAGAAAAGTTGGGTGTCGTTCGGCGGTGTGCATTCCAAGGGACATAGCGAGTGCCACTGAACCTGCCCATGCCCTGTGAACCGTGGCGCGTCTGAAATTACATCCGTCATTCATTCCAGCCTTGGGGTGGCCTGGGCAGCAGCACAGGTGCTATGCCAGCTCGCCCTGATGGCATTTCCTGCCCCCTCTCCCCTGCAGCATGATTGGGCTGATGCTGGGCACCTGTGTCGCCTTCTACGTCGTCATCGGTGATTTGGGGGCCAACTTCTTTGCCCGGCTGTTTGGGTTTCAGGTAAGGATGTGTTCAGGGTTCTGGATTGTTGTTGAGATGCTGACGGCTTTTCTGAGGCCCTCCGTGGGATCCTGCCAGGGACCGAGACCAGGGCACTGGTCGGGAGAAGCTTCTGTCGAGCCTGCTGTCAGTCCAGGGGCTTGGGGGAGTGCGGGGGCTCTGCTGGGGTCACATCTGTGAGAGGTGCGGGGGAGGAAGCCAGCCAGGCAGAGTCTGACACTATGTGGATGAGGGTGGGGTGGGGGAACCTCAGACCCAAGCACCATGCAGAGCAAGTCTCTGCCAGCCCGGGCTGCCCATTGGAGGGCAGAGGTGGCCAGGCCCTTGTGCATCCCTGGCCTCTGTGGTCACCCAGGCTGCTGGGTGGATCCAGAACCTCTGCTGCTGGGGCCTGTGGACTCAGCACTTCTTGCGGGGACCTTGGTGTGGCCTCCTCCGTGCTTTTTCACCTGCCACGGAGAGGCCACTCCACAGAGAGGCCACCTGATGGACAGGGAGAGACACACCTGTCCCTCCCTGCCGGGGAGCACAGCCCCTTGCTGGGTGGGCGGGCATTGTGGCAGTTAGGGTGCTGACAGTATAGAAAGGCTTTCAAAGGCCACAGCCGAGGCAGAGGTGTCCTCTCCAGGAGTGGAATGTACCGGATCTGCTCTGCGTCATAGAACATTCCAAGAAGCGTCCAGGGAGCCAGGCCCCCTTGTCTTCTTCTGAGAGTCTCCCTGTTGGACTTCCCATTTTCTGTGCTTCGCCTTGACCTCAGTAGAGCTTCGGGCCTGCCCTGCACATACAGCGCTCTGCACCTTTCCCGCCCACCGCCCAGGGCCGCTGACTCTGACCCGCAGCCGCTGTGTTGCTGTAGCGCTGCCGCCTGCGTTATGGGGCTCCTGTCCTCTGCTCTGGCTGGTCTTACCCTGGGCTGGACTGGGTTCCAGGGAAGGGAAATGCTCAGTGTCCAAGGTGCACAGCACGGCGGCTGTGAGAGCGGCTTCCTGGCGAGCGTGCCAGCCTCGGACCCGCCGGCGTCATTTACCCGGATGCCATTGGCTTTTGAGCTCGGCGCTCTGCTCCCTGGCAGTGCAGAGAGCCGTGTGGTGAGCAGGCCCGGACTGTGGCCAAGGCCTCTCCCGGCTCCCCGCAGGTGGGCGGCACCTTCCGCACGTTCCTGCTGGTCGCGGTGTCACTGTGCATCGTGCTCCCACTCAGCCTGCAGCGGAACATGATGGCCTCCATCCAGTCCTTCAGCGCCATGGCCCTCCTCTTCTACACCGTGTTCATGTTCGTGGTGAGTCTGCAGTGCTGCTCCTGGCAGCAGGCCCGTGCCCGGGTCTGGTGTGGCTGCTCCTGGGAATGTGTTGGAATGAGCAGGATATGCCACGAAGTGCCATTCATCTCGAGGCCACTGGGCACCATGGGGCAGACAGGGCTGGGTGGACCCAGGTGCGGTTGGCTGGCAGGAGAGGCTGGGGCTCAGGGCGGGGTGGCTGTGAGGCTGGTTTCATGTCATCCACGCAAGGAGAAGGGAACGCCAAGTCCGCTAGCTTTGTGCAAAGATGTCTTAGGTAGAATTTGTGACCAAGGCTCACAGTGCCAGTGTTGTGACGCAAGGTGGCAAACCATTGTTTTTCTAAATGAGAATTGATAACACGGTGGACCAGAAGTCATCTGTGAACAGGACGCTTCCCAGAGCCCCCAGTGCATCCTCCATCTCTGCCTGGGACCTGCCCATAGGAGCTGCAGGACCCAAGCCCCCGGGACCTACCCATTCCCTGGCGAGGTCAGAAATGACCCTTCTGGAGTGGCCGGAACCTGAGTTTGCAGCGAGTTTGCACCTGGACGAGGGCAGGTGGTCACTGAAGCCAGGGTCTCCAGTGCTCCTCAGCTCTCCCAGCGAGGCCTAGCCCAGTGGCAGCACCTCTTTACTCTTGAGATGGCTGTGTCCTTGGTGGGCGTCTTTTGGGAGATGTCCGTGTCTGGCACAGTACAGGATGGAGAGGGACCTGCGTGTGCGGGAAACCGCCCTCTGTAACTGATGGAAACTGGGGCCGTGTGCGCTCAGTGGTCTCCCCCCGTCTGTGCCAAGCTGCCCCCTTGCCAGATCAACTACTCTGCTAACTGCAGGATGAGCCAGGGTGCGCTGAGGCAGGGGCAGGAGTTCAGAAATGCGCGGTCTCCCTGCCTCCAGCTGGCGGCATCGGGTCGCAGGGGCTGGGATGCGGGTGGGAAGAGCTGTGCTCTCCCCCTGCTCCCTCCCAGCGGGATGCTGATCCCGCCTGCATTCTGACCCGCCCTGTGCTCTCTCCCCGCTCCCCTGCAGATTGTGCTCTCCTCTCTCAAGCACGGCCTCTTCAGCGGGCAGTGGCTGCGGCGGGTCAGTTACATCCGCTGGGAGGGCGTCTTCCGCTGCATCCCCATCTTCGGCATGTCCTTTGCCTGCCAGTCGTAAGTGTCCTGCTGTGGCCCCTGCTGGAGGTGGGTTCTGTTGGGGGGAGGGCAAGCTGCTGGGAGACGGGACCCTCTGTCTTTCTCGTTTCCTGTGATGGCTCTTTGCTGGCTGCTGAAGTGATGTCTTGCTCAGTGATGACCTTTCCCCCTCCAGGCTGGGGGAGATGGTTCTATTTTAATCGGGAGGTAAACCGGCTTCCTTTCTGGGATGTGTTGGGGGCTAGCTGGTGGGAGTCCCCAGTTTGCCAGATCCCCACAAGCAGAACGTTGGCTGTGGGGGATACAGCAACAGCCCAGCCATCTGACGGCACAGTCCCAAGTGTTGTGCCAGGACTGAGCTGTTCCGAGAATATTTAAAAGGAAATTGCACAAACACTGACTTTAGACGGCTGCTGATGCATCGGGAGGCTGCATGTGTGCATGAGCCTGCTTCTCTGGCACGCAGTGCTCTGTAAATGCAGATTGGGCTCTCCCATAATTCCAGCAGCATTACCTTCTCCACCAAAATGACAAGAGTGGGTGATTCATGCCCGGTTGGAACATGATAACCGGCTGAAAAGAGAGGCGTAAATCCGGCGCGGACGGGAAAAGACCATCGGCGTGCGGGGGCTGGCAGAGCAGCCCCGCCGCGTTAGTGGGCACGCACTGAGCCAACCGTAAACTAATGTGACAGATGAAATTTGTTCATACCGCTGTGTTTACACCCACACGCGAGATCCAAATCGTCATTTCCCACTTAGCATCTCTCTTGGCAGCTCTGTCTCCACCAGAACGCGCCCCAGTCTTGCTGTTTAATATCCATTATGATCGGTGACAGAAGCCGCATTCTTCCGCCGCATACCTAGTTACCAGTTGCCCTTTGTGTCTGCGTGTCTGCATACTTAGAAATTCATCTGCAGTGGGGTTTTTGGTGGTGGCCACATAGTAGCCAGTGCGTATCATTTGGGTTTGCTTCCGGAGTCAGGTGCTGGGTTCTGAAGCATTGGAGTGTGCGGCCCGCCAAGTGCAGGTTTCCTTCTGCCCTCCCCCAGGGCGTGCAGGCCTGCAGATTCACCCCACGTTCTCCCGAGCAGGGACACCCCATCCAAGTAGAGGTTTCCTTCTGCCCTCCCCCAGGGCGTGTGGGTCCACAGATTCACACCACGTTCTCTGGAGCAGGGACGCCCCTCCCTGTGGTGGCCGCTGCATTGACCTCCCCATCCCTGAACTCAGGAATGTTTGCTGAGAGCAGACAGCTCTTTCCCGCCCACAGCGTCACTGCACCAGCGTGCCTGTCTGCTGGGGTGGCCGGCCGTGCCACGCACCTGTATGATTGCTCTGGATGTTAGCTGGGGCCAGGCCTCCCCTGTGCCTTCACTATCTGGCCCTTTCTGGTAAATGTATACCTTGTTATGCAGAATGGTTGTTCTAGGCCCAGAGAAGTGGCTGCAGCAGGACTGAGCCCAGGAGGCCCTGGAGGGCAGGGTCTGTGTGGAGACCGGGGTCCCCATCGTCACCGTGGGGCAGAGGGGCACACACCCGAGAGCTGCACGCAGACGGCTGCACTGACTCTGGAAGGCACCTGAGCCTCAGAGGCTGCCTCACAAAGTGGACGGGCAAGGCTGCTCTGTGGGCCTCGGGCCGGCGCTCAGCACCTTCCCCCGTCTGTCGAGCTCCTTTGCAGGTGACCAGGAGGTTTGGTGGCTCCTGCCTTGTTTCTTTCCAGGGATGATCCTGGGGGTCCCTGGGGTAGGTGGTCAGGATTGGAGAGGAGCCTGGGGCTTGGCCTTCCACCCTGGCCACGCCACGTGCCTGGGACACCCCTTCCCACAGTATCCATGGCTTCCTTGGGGGGGGGGGTCACTCCCCACAGTGTGTGTTTGGGGCTAGGGGGAAGCATGTGTCATGGGACTCCAGCACTGGTCCCCTCAAACTGAGACCCTGTTTGTGGACTCAGCTCTGGCCAGAGGACAGCTTAGCACGGGGAAGTTCATGCCGCAACATGGCCTTCTCTTGGAGCTGTGGGTCTGGGGCCACGGAGACCTCCAGGTGTTTCCCTGCTTCTTCGCCAGCCTCCTGGGGCTGTGTGCACAAGTGTTGGCCTCTTAGTTCCCCTCCAGCCTGGGCTGGGGAGAGGGCTCGTGTCCTGCAGAGTGCCCCAAGTGCTGCTGATGGCACTTCATGCCAAGGGCAGCCTGATGGGATGGTGCGCTAGGGCCGGGCAACAGGACGCCGACAGCTGCTGGCGGGGCCTTCTCACTTGTCCTTGTCAGTCTGCTGGATTCCTTTTATTTTTGCTGGAGATGGGGTCCAGCTCTGTCACCTAAGCTTAAGTGCAGTGATACGATCATGGCCCACTGCAGCCTCAACCTCCCGGGCTCCAGTGATCCTCCTGCCTCAGCCTCCCAAAGTGCTGCTATTCAGGCATCGGCCACTGTGCCTGGACTGGTTTGTTTTTTAACAAAGTCAGGACGTCTTGTTTTTCTTTCACTTTCTTCAAGGCGGTTTGGGATTTGGCTCCACCAGCCGCTGTGCTGCTGGCTTTCTACCCTTCCCCTGGCCCATCCAGCTTCCTTTGTGCCCTTGAGCCCCTGCCCCAGGACGGCCATGGCCACGGCCACCGAACAGCCTCGGAATGGCCCCCTGGACTCGCCGCTCCAAAGTCCTCGTTTAGCTCCAGGCAGAGTGGCTCTCACCTGCACTCTGGGGTGAACTGCCTGGCCCAGCTCCGTCCTCTCTGGCTGCACATCGATAGTCCATGGCCCCAGCCTCTCCCATCTCTCCCACCCCTCTCCAGGGGCCCAGGTCCCCGTGCACATCCCTTGGATGGGTCTGTGCCTGTGCAGGGCTGTCACGTCCTGGCTTGGCCAGTGGCTTGGGTCCCTCCCACCCCCAGCAGCACCACGCTCCTGGCACCAGGCGTGGGACCGAAGCCAGTTTTCTCATGACACAAGTGAGAGGCTGCAGTGGGAAGCACGCCCTGGCCGTCTCCTTGTCTGTGCCCGACTCTGATCCCGCCTGTGCCGAGGCGCTGAGATGGGCCAGCCGCCCAGGCCAGGGTGTGTTTGTTTAACTTTCCCTCCTTTTGACAGCGATTCTCTGAACAGCTTCCTCCCGCTGCTTCCCCTATAAACTAGCTGCGTTGACTCTCAGTGCCTCTTTGCTGGTGTGGAGCAGCAGCCTGGTGTCCCTGAGCCTGTGGGAATGTTTGCAGGTCACACGCTCTGGGGGTGTCCTGCGTGGATGGCGCACGCTC